CACCTCACTAACTTTAACTCGATTACATGTTTTCAAAATTACGAGGGTCGGGGTTCCGACTTGAGTCGAGAGTTCCGACGGTCGGAAGTCCCGATTCTTCGGGAGTTCCGATGCCTCACAACATCATCAGTAACTTAGTTACCGTTATGCGATCTAAGTCATCACCGGACGTGTCCGTGTTACTGCACTATAAAACTAGCTAGTTTTTTCAAGGGGCTATAATACCCCCAAGCCTCCACCTTTGAGGTCTGCTGATTCTCTTGACTTAGACACACGTTTTTGAGCCTTGCCAACCCTCTCTTAGTGAGTGATTGATCAAACTTGCAAAATCAATTTGTGGGTTGAGTGAAATTCAAAAGAGAGCCATCCAACCACTTGAGCACTTGTGCATATTGTCAATCTCGTGATTCGCATTTGTTACTCTTGGACTCTTGGTCCTAGACGCGGTTAGACGTCACGGGAGAGCACCCGGGAGATTGTGGTGTGCCTCGGAAAGTTTATAATTGTTGATTCCGCCGCCTCGGAATCAATTAGTGGAAGGAGGAAAAGGAGTTGGAAAAGACTCGGCTAGAGTGACCTTCGTGGTATCCTCTAGGGCTGACCTTCATTGGGTCGCCTGCAGCCCCTCAATGGAGAGTAGGACTCGAACGAGTCCGAACTTGATAAAACAAATATCGTGTCTCAATTCGCATTTCATTTGATATTTGTGTTGCTCTAGCACTTGTCTTGAGTTCTCTGTATATCTTGATAGTTAAATTAGGTGCCTGCAGTTTGGTTTGAAGATAGAAATCAAAAGGAGCAAGTTCGGGGCGATCTGCGAAATCGTGTATATGGGACACGTCCAGATATTCATCTGGGACACGTCCGGTATTTCTACTGCACTAAAAATATTTATTCTCTGTTCTAACTTGATGTTGCGGGGTTGTAGCTTCTAGATATATTCTTTATACCTTGTTTACTCTGTGGCTAACTTGTGAGGGGTGGTAGTACTCTTAATTTGGAGTTTCCATTTTGGAAACTCCCCTTTCTAATTGTTTCCGCATTTAAAGGTGTTAATTTTCAGAAACGCCTATTCACCCCCCCTCTAGGCGACATCCTAGGTCCTTTCAGTGTTTGAAGCCGATGACACGTGGCAGCGCGCATGATGCGGCGAGACTGACCGAGAGTCCGAAGATCCCGGTCAATCTGACCGGAGCGTCTGGTCGGCCCGTGTTCAGTGCAGTGTGAAGCCCAACGACTCTATTTCGTGGGGGCTTCTATTTAAGCCCCATGGCCGGCTTTAGCTCACTCTCTTGGCCATTTGCATTGACATAGCAACCTTGTGAGCTTAGCCAAAGCCCTCCCACTCATCTCCATCATTGACCCATCATCATTATGAGATTGGGAGAGAATCCAAGTGCATTGCTTGAGTGATTGCATATAAAGGCACTTGGTATTCGTGTTTCGCTGTGGGATTCACTTGTTTCTCTTGGTGCTTGCCGCCGTCTAGACGGCTTGGAGCAGCGAGGATCGTTGAGCGAAGGTTGGTGATTATCCCCGGTTCGATCGCGGTGATTGTGAGGGGTCTTGTGCCTTTTCCGGTGGAGCGTCGAAAGGTAACTCTAGTAGATTGCTCGTGTCATTGAGTTACCTCACTTGTGGGTAGGTTCTTGCGGTGTCCAATTGTGTGGACGAGGTTCGTGCAACGCCTCTTAGCCGCCGAACCACCAAGTGATGGTCGACACAACGGGGACTAGCGTGCCGACAAGCACGTGAACCTTGGGAGAAAAATTGGTTGTCTCTTGCCCTTTGGTATTCTCTCGGTGATTGATTTAGTATTCATCTTGTGATTGATTCACTCCTCTACACGGCGGTATAATCACCCTACTCACTCATTTATATTCTTGCAAACTAGTTGTAGCAAGCTCTTTAGTGTAATTAGAATTGAGATATTACTTTGTTATTTTAAGTTCATCTAGTGGAGCTCTTTAGAGTAGCAAGATTGAGAGCTCTTAGTGAGTAGTAACATTGCAAGTTGTGTGCCTAGTAATCATTGCAACTAGAATTGTTGGATAGGTGGCTTGCAACCCTTATAGAGCTAGAGCGAGTTTGCATTTCGCTATTTATCATACTAATCAAATTGCTCTAGTTGATTTATAGATTTTTAAATATGCTATTCACCCCCCTATAGCCATATTAGGACATTTCAGTGGCCCAAAAGTAACTCTTATACTATATGTAAATTTCTAGCCTGGCCCAAGGCGTTGGGCCAAAGTTTCACTCCTCCCGGTCCGACACAGACACCCGACTCCTCTAATCCCGTCCCTCGCAATCGACTCCGTCTCCTGCTCTCTCTGTCTTGCCACCGCCGTCGTCGGCGGCGACTCTCCCTATTTGCAAGCTCACGGCTGCCCTCGCTGACGCAGGTGGCGACTTCGGCCCCGGGTCTGTCGCGACTGCATGGTCGGTGGTCGAGGCGCCGGGCTTGACTTGACCAGCCCAGGCGAGTGCTCTGCAAGAAGTGATCGCACGCCGCGCCGCCGCACTCTTCGGTCATGGCCGACGAGCACCGAGCAGCGACAAGCCGCTGACCCAAAGATCTTCGTCACATTTGCCTGCTGCTCTCTGTCTTCATTCTCACCTGTCTCGGGTCCGGCCTCCTGTGTGGCACAAGGAGTAATTGATTAAGTCAACAGGGTTGTACAAGGAGGAGGATCAAGATATTAAAATCCTCCCCCTGCTCCAATGCCAATTATACCATTAGTGCAAAAAACCCAACTTTCTACGAACCAAACATCATTAGTTAGTTATTTTTTAACAACTTTCATGTTTTCATGAATTATATCGCGGATTTAAGTATAAACTTATAAGATAGTTTTGCAGTAGACCCGATGGAAGCCTTCGCGTAGGTGGTATATAGGCTTTGGAAGTGGCCCTAAGCGTCAAAATCGATGAGGTCCGCCACCGGAACAGCTATCATTGGAGTTAGCAGGAACAGTGACCCGTTTGAAAAAAAAACAGCTCTACATGTAAAACTCTCTGAAACATACTTAAATCGGACCTTTGCTCACACATAAGCCTATTAGAATAAGAGCCTATTTCGGACAACGTTTGCTCAACTTCTAAACCTAATAAGCAAATAATCCCGCACAAACGCCCTGCCATCAGGACCAAAAGCGACCGCGCTTCCGCGATCTCCGGTCGCCCGCAACATATCCGAAATCACGAGCAAGGCGCCACTTCACTTTTCTGAAATCGCGAAGGCTTTTCCTCTCCTGCCCCTCCCTCAAGACCCAAGCGGTCCCGTGCTCGCTCCCTCCCCCGTTCGCTCCCTCCCCGGCGCCGCCTGCCTCTTCGCCGCCGCCTCCCATTCCCCTCCGGCCGGCCTTCCCTCCTCTCGCCAGATCCGCGGCCGCCTCCCCTCCCCCTCCGCCGGTGCTCCAGCCAGCGCGTGGGCGGCCGTCCCCTCCCCTCCTTCGAATCTCCAGCCAGGGCGCCGGCGGCCCTCCCCTCCCCCTCCGCCGGTACAGCAAGGTGATTAGGTGCTCCAGCAGTTGATTTTCACGGGTGGGACATTTTCCGTGAAGACGCTCAAGGGATCTAGCTTCCAGATCGAAGTGGAACCCACCGACAAGGTACTCATCGCTTGCGCTCCCGATCTGTCGCTATGGTTCTAGTTGCTGGATGTATTGGCGGGGTTGCTTCGCTAGATTTGGCTGCTTGTTAGGTTCGTTTGGGGTCTAGGTTTTGGTTGGTTCCCCTGCGGAGGCGACGAGAGTGTTGGAAGCCACGAGCAAAGCTGCCGTGGATCCAATCTGTAGGTTGCTGCTTTGGTTACGGTGGTGCGAGCGGAACAGACGGAACGGAGAGCTGTTGCAGAGTTCACCTGTGGATTTTCTGGTTTCAGTTTGGGTTCCTTCTAGTGATGTTTTCGTGGATACAGGAGATGCCAAGGCGAAGTTATCAGGCATTAGTTCATTGGTTGCTCCCTTTAAGTTGGTAGATAGAGCATAAGTTCTAATCAATCGATTGTCGCTGTCATACATCTCTGCAGGGGATGCCCCTCTGCAGGTTGTGTGTTTGATTGATAAAAAAAAGTAAGGCAACGTGATACCTCATTACCTCGCGGGCACGAGCATTGATTAGTTATTGTCGTTTCAGTTTAGGCTCAGGAGCCATTCTTGACTTGTCGATGTTAGATCTTATCAGTACAAGCTATTTTCTGCCGGTTTGTTTCTAGGCAGCTTCAGGATGTAATGCTGGATTTTCACCTATTTGGTAATGTGGTTGGAGTGGATCAAATAGGTGCATGCGATGGCTGCCATAAAAAAAGCCTTTGAAATCTGAGATTTTTCAGTATGCCTAAGTTCATATAACACAAACCTTAGATGCTATCATCACCCCTTCATGAATAAAAGTGCCCATTGTTGATATCGGTGCACTGCTGCTTTTGTGTTTTCATAGAATAGTTCATTGGCAAGGAATGATGAATCAATTAGATGTGTGAAGTTTCCTTATGAACTTAACTCTTGAGGCATACATTCTGTCTGACCTGCCATGCTATTGTTTAATTTTCTGCTACATTCTATGGCAGCTGTCCTAGGCTCCTAACACAGTTGGTTGCCTGGAATGATGAATCAATTTGTGCTGTCTTCGCATAATGTTGTAGTACTACTGGGTTTTAAAATTACCAGGGTTTATTGACAATATAGGAGGATTGACACTGCTGTTTTTTTTCTTTCATGTACATAGACATCCCAGTTCCACCGCCTGCTGCCCTCCCATCCCCACCGCCGGCTGCCGTCCAGCAAGGTGAGCATGCAAGCTGAAGTGCCGCAGGAATCCGAATCAATGAGGTCAGCTCCAATCTTAGCCTATATGGCAGCTTGGTTTATTCTCCCTCTTTTCTTCTTCTTGGAGCGGAGGCTATCCTTTAGCTTGGGAATCTCACCTGCAAACTTCGTTTTTTTAGCTAATCCACTCCGGCGACCTAGGTCTCTTGGCTTGCCCGCTGGTCTGTAATGGCGCAGGATGATCCGGTTGTTTCTGCTCAGTGGCTGCACGAGCACCTAGGAATGCCTGATGTCAAGGTAAAAAAAAAAAGTCATCTAGTTTGCATGTTCATATTCAGTTCAGAGATACTTAAATATTGCTTCCTTCATAAACAAAAAGTTCAGAGTTACTTCTTCTATCCCCTGCGTCAGTGGTATGTGGAGAACATAACAGTATGATTGTTTGTCAATTTGATCTTACTTCCAGAAAGAATTAGAGGGTTAGAGACAGATGTGGTTTGTGATAGTTAACAACTTGTTTTAGGTTTTGGATGCTTCCTGGTACATGCCAGTAGAGAACAGGGATCCATGGGAAGAATATCAGGTTTTCAGCATCAGCTGTAACGTGTCTCATTTTCCTTTTTGACACAATTGTTGGAGCTAAAGTGTTCTTATATCTTCAGGTGGCACACATCCCTGGTGCGCTATTCTTCGACTTAGATGGCATAGTTGATCGGACAACTGATGTGAGAGATGTTTCTGGATATACCTTGCATCCTCATTTTTTCCCATTATTTTAGTTGAAGTAGATAAACAACAAGGATTTCCTAAGGTGGTTGTGGTTCATACAGCTTTGCAAATCTCATGTACTTAAAGTTAGATTTTGCCACCAACTGGAGACTGATTCTTTCAATTAGTTTCGCAATATAGTAGTAATATAGAGCTTGTTTTCTTTTCCTAAAGCATAATATGTTTATCCTATGATATTGTTTCAGTTACCACACATGTTGCCATCAGAAGAGGCTTTTGCAGCAGCAATTTCTGAGCTGGGTATAAAAAACCAGGATAAAGTTATTGTTTATGATGGAAAGGGATTCTTCAGTGCACCTCGTGTTTGGTGGTAAGCAGAAGTCTGTTCCAGTATCCACTTCATCAAAATGATGAAACCAGTAGAAACTTGCTATTCAGTTGTGCTGTTGATATAAAAAGTGATCAAAATTAATGACGACCTTATCAAGGACACTATTTTCTTTGTTATAAGAGTGATCTGATTGTTTTACTTAACTAACATGATTTCCTTCAAGATGTTTAAGATGTTTAGAGTGTTTGGACACAAGAAAGTCTGGGTATTAGACGGTGGTTTTCCTCAGTGGCGAGCTTCTGGGTTCAATGTGGAAAATGCCAGCCCTGATGATGCAGTTCTGAAATCAAATGCTGCAAATAAGGCTGTCGAAAGGGTTTATAATGGTGAACAGGTGAGCTAAAATGATGCTGTCCATATAATTACTAAACATTTTTTTTGCTTATTGGATAATTACATTTTTTTTGTCTGTGCAGACAAATACAATCACATTTCAGACTGAATTTCAGCCTAATCTATTCTGGACACTGGAAAAGGCTAGTAACTTTTTTTACCTGAAAGTATTAGCCTTGCATGCTTAGACTGAAATATGTATCAGTCTGCTGGTCATATGAACCCTTTTGCTTTCTTTAATTTTACATTGATGCCTCAAAAACTTGGTGGAACTCCATAAATTTGATCAACTCTGGAGTAATAGGATCAACTCCGAATTCTGTAAATATGATTAACTCAAAAAGGAGCTATGAAGATTATCACTAAGTGAAACATTAATGTTATTCCCATGCAAATTGAGCTGTTTGATTCATGCAACAGGTTGCACATAATGTCACTGCTAAGACTTAACAACAAATAGATGCCAGAGCAAAGGGCAGGTAACATCTTTAGTTACACGAACTGTAGCAGCTAGAAGTTCTGATGCTAACTGAATATGATTTGCAAGTACAAACTTAGGTTAGTAAACACAATGCTCCAGTTCAAGCAAGACTCCGCCCTAACTCTGAATTCAAAGGAATTACATTAAACTGTTAGATGTACAGATGAAAATATATTTCACCATTTGTGAATCCGCTAATTCTCAAACTAATTGTTAAAAAGATGCATTATATGCATTGGCAGCTGATGGCATTTTTTTGTTATTGACCCCTCTTCCTAAGTTGCCTGTGGTTTCTTCTTGTTCTGAAGAAAATTACCCACATTCAAATTCGCAGATTTGATGGTGTAGCACCAGAACCACGGAAAGGGGTAAGAAGTGGACATATACCAGGAAGCATCTGTGTTCCATTCCCTGAGGTTGGTATGATTCAAAGATTCAGTACATCACATGATAGTTGGATAACCATCAATTGCTAAGAAATGATGATGTTTGCCTTCATCCCAGATGTTCGATGGTGCACCAAACCTTCTCTCTTCAGATGAGCTGCGGCAAAAGTTTCAGCAAGCAGGTCTCCATTCCGTTGCAACTCATTTTAATAATCTGAAACAAGTAATTTTATTGTGTTCTTGGCAAGAAAGAAAGCAAGAATTTTTCCAAAGTACAAATATGAGAAGTAGAGCAGGAATACTGATAATTTAACATTTCAGATCTTTTAGAAATTGAGTATTTCTTAGGGATCATGTACAGAAATTCTGAAAAGTTTGCCAAGCAATAACAGTATGGTGTATTTGGTGTTTCTTCAGGAATTTCCCTAGACCAATCCATTGTTGTCACTTGCGGATCTGGCGTGACTGCATGCATACTTGCTCTGGTCTGGAATCTTCCCTGTTCATCTTGGATTTACCAGGCACTAGCAAAGCAATCCCTAATAATATCTCTTTTTACAGGGGCTCTACAGGATTGGAAAGCATGATGTTCCAGTTTACGATGGATCTTGGACAGAATGGGAAGCACAATCAGATTCCGATTACCCAAAAGTTACCGCTCCTGCTTGTTAAAACTCACAAGCTCTGAAAAGATTAATACAGTTTGAGCATCGTGGACCATTCAGTTTAGATTGTCAGCAAGATGACATTATGTTGTAACAAGCTTTGCACTAAATAAAGGCGAATATTATATGGACGAGAAATGTGCAATATGTTTTATGTTGTCCTGTCACAAAAAGAGATGAAAGGGGACATGTAAAGCAGGACATAAAGTGTTGCCAATTCCTGTGAGTCGTGACCCCACTGTCAGCATCAAACTTATGGTTGACATGTAGTACTAACTACTAACGTTAATATTCAAGGAACATATGCTTGAAAACAACACAGACTGATTTTATTCACCATTGTAAACATTGTATTTACCATACAGATTAGTATCATGATCAACGTATTTCACTATTTTGTATCTAAATTAGGCAAATTCTTGTAAAGTGAGGTCTAATGATCTAATGAGGAAGTTGTCTTATGAATTTTCAATGAAAAATTGATACAATAAGTCAATTGGATGGGTGCGTCGCAAGGCTGGTTCCAGCCGCAAGCCCTCTCGACTTTCGAAGCAGAAACTCTCGTATCGTACCGTCCGGTGGGCGCCGCCTCCTCGTGAGCTGTGCGCTGAACGAAAAGGACGCCGCCGACGCCTGGTACCTTGCGTCAACTCGAGCTTCGTTTGTGCACGCTTTCCCATCCGACGCTGCATATTCCCAATGCATTCGACGTCGCCACCGCTAGGCCGGGCCGGGTGGCTATAAATCTCGCAGGCGCCGCCCGTTTGCAGAGGCACCGCAAGCCACACACCAACACAGAAGCAGGCAGGGCAACTGGGCAAGAGGCCGGCTGTGTGTGCTGGGAGCGATCGAGCAAGTGGTAGTAATAATGGGGGCCGCGGTGAGCACCGCGTTCTGGGCGGGCGTGGCGGTCGGGGCGGCGTGGGCGGCGTGGGCGGCGGCGTCTGACGTTGTCAACGACGCCCTCGACTCCGTCTACGACGCGGCTGAGGCGGTGATGGACTACCTGCGCACGGTCGCCTCGTCGGCTTTCGAGAAGCTCAACGCAGCCGCGGCATTCGTCAAGGACAAAGTCATCAACCTAGTGCACCGCCTGCGTGGCCGCAAGGAGGCAGCTGCGGCGAGGCGCGAGGTGGACAATGCTGCTGCCGCTGATGTTTGGGTTGCGGCCTCCCAGCAGGCAAGCTTCCGGACAGGCAGCCGTCCTGGCCCCAGGCGCCCGAGATTGCGCCAGGCACCTGGGTCTGATCCAAATATGGCCGTCGTGCTGTCCAGGGCTGCGGCCCGTGTCGCCGGTTTCGGGCGACTACTGGACGTCAAGGCCGGCCTTCCTCCTCCGTCTTCGGCCATCGTCTCTGCCACCGCACCCGGCAGAGAGCTGGCCTTGCCGGGTTCCGTGGCTGCCCCGGCCGCGCGCGCCGGACGACGGGCTTCGGAGATGATGGCCCTTCTTGAGACCGCGGTGGAGGCGCTGGGTGACAGCATTCCTGAGGACGCTAGGTCCTGCATCTGCGTCGTCGTAGCCGCGGTGGGCATAGGTCTCGAGGCGATCGCCGCCGCCGCCGCCGCCGCGGACGCCTAGGCCCGTCGGCTCCGCTCCGTTGATTTGCTATGCCGTTGCAGTGTCCCCGTTTCTGTATCGTCCCCCTGTTGCCAAAGTTCAATTGAAGCAGTAATTCTTCACCTGATTTTTTTTTGCGAGAAATTCTTCACCTGCATTTCAACGTCTCCTTTGTACTTGCATGGATTTTTCGTGGCCAGGCCGCGCAAATGAAAACGCCGTGCACTTTAGGCCCCCCCCGGAATAACAGGAAATGGCATTCGATACGAGTTTCGTTTGCAGGATGGAGCCGTCCAATGCACGACGAGCTGTTGAGCTGTGTGGCCATCTCAAGCCCAAGGGCTACACAGCCTACAGGCTCACGGGGTCCAAATCGTCCTCTGCTCAGCGGTTTCTCACGGTACTGCCTCGATTACTTACGGCTGTGCGTTAGTCTTTTTAAATCTCACTCTTTAAACTATTATTTAGAGCGTCATTTATATAAAAAATCGTTTTTTATATCTTTCGCTCTCCAACCGTTTTCATATATTTTGTGTGCACTCTAGAGAACCCTTCTCGTTGTATATCTTTGGCTACCGAGAAATCAGAAATAGAAGATGTTTATATTTGGATAACCAAATAAAAAAAGTTGTGCACTCTCTATATGTTCAGAAAGATACAATTCTTATTTTTAGGAGTTAAATGTGTTTAGTTTAACTAAAATTATATAAAAATACTAACATTTACGATACAAAATAAGTACCATTAAATTAATTATAAAATGTATTTTCTTAATAAACCGATTTAGAGACAAAATTATAAATATTATTCATTATAAATTTTGTCAAACATGAACTATTTTGACAGATTTGAGCCGATGATTTGACGGCTGACTAGGCTTGGGAACCGATGTGGAGGAGAGAGAATGGTAGAAAATCAACTCGCTGGCTATATAGCCTAGGTAAAAGTGTTTGACGTTAAATTATAGGATTCCTCCACGTCGCTGCCGATTTTGATAGCAACTATTGTGGATGCCCTAGTCATTTGTAGGTGCATTTACGACACATTTGTGTTCATAGGAGATCATGGGTACGTCGTTGGGGTAGCAAGTGAACAAGCTGGAGGGATGCTTGCGCCAAGGACCGTGTGAAGGAGAATAGGTGCCTGAGGTGCGTTTGCGGGTGGGCAGTGCGGAGGAAAAGTGGGACATCGGTAATGTGACTTCACCAAATTGCATAGATATTTGCTAGTAAAGATTTCTTATTTAGAGCCCTCTTTGACAAGGGCCTCATCTAAGAAGCCAGAGAAGCCATGATTTGGTGGCTTCACCCATCTAGTGGAGTAAAAAAAACAAATCCCCTCTGTAGCTTCTTTTATAGAGCCGTTTTATTAGATAATGTTTGACAGAGCTTCATTAAAAAGCCAAGGCTCCGGCCAAAGAGGGCCTAAGTATAAAGAATATATAAAGATACAATAGGCATAAGAGTTTCGTTAATTCAAGGATAAAAAATCTATGGCTACTGATAAATCAAAATTGGATTCATGACATTGTAAAAGGTTATATTTTCTAAGATTTTAATCTATGCAGGAGTATAGATTGATGGAATTTTTGACTCTATGGAACAAATTCACATCTTCACATGGAATCTTATCAAAGGAAAAAAAAATCACAACAACGTGCATCACAAAAACGTGCATCGGCGTGTGGCGTGCTGGCTAGCTCAGCTCAGTTAGCGAGAGGTCCATTGTTGTTGCGGTGAATGGCCCATTACCGTTGGTTGCTTCTGAATCTGGTGCTCCGCAAGTAATTTACCTTCGCTTTTTAGCACCACCTCGTGTATGCATGTGGGAGGGAGAACCAGACGTCCTCATAAAAAACCCAAGCGCCTCCCGACTCCAGTGCAGAACACAATGGCCAGCATTCCGTCCCCTGAAATTTCAAAGGGAATACGGGAAGAGCGGCGGTGTTTATATACCGGTGTTTACCCAGTTTGAACAACGATTCATGGTTGGTAAAAACAGCCAACAGCCAAGGAGTCTGGATTGAATTTTTTTTATTTCTGTTTTCGTACTAGTTTTCTCTTTTTTTTCATCTCATTTGGTTCTGTTTTTTTCCCCCTTCCATCGGTTGCCTCATCTCTCAATCATCATCGGCTTGCCCTCGAGTATACCAACAAGCTTCCTATAGTCTGATCATCAGAGCTAAATCAAAACAAGCGCTAGCTGCATTCTGATCATCAGGGCTAATGTCTGCCTTATCTGTGGCTTGCCCTCGAGTATGCCAACAAGCTTCCTATATTCTGATCATCAGGGCTAAATCAAAACTGGCTAGCTAGCTGCATTCTGATCATCAGGGCTAAATCAAAACAGGCTAGCTAGCTGCAGTTGCCAATTGATGGTTGGTTGGTTAGTTGCACCCTAAGAAAACCAGATGAGAGGAAACAACTGAACCGGATAGCAGCACATATGCAGGAACTCCACCACAATTGCTCTAGCAGAATATTCTTTTCAATTGGAGAATGCAGGAACTCCACCACAATTGCTATCTTTCCAATCGAAGAAGTCCGTTGATAAATATATGAATGTAGTGAACATATGCAGGAACTCCACCACAATTCCTCTAGCAGAAACAATATTCTTTTCTATTAGAGACTCCACCACAATTGCTCTCTTTTGAATTGGAGAAGTCCGTTGATAAATAGGAACGTAGTGACACGGAAGCTTCAGTTTTGTTTGGTATAGATTTAGACAGAAGAATACAAGATATAAATGGCATGAACCAAATTCTTGTACAACCGCAAAAATTACTAAACAAACAATTGGCGTGTAGAAGCCCATGGGTCAGTGATCTTGTACACTAGTTGATTTTAGATTCTCATCTTTGGATAGAATTTCTCATCTTTGGAACTAAGAGGACATCATCGGCTTCCAAATGAGAACTCTGCCATTGGTACACGGCAACCAGGATTCAGAATAATACGGCCATTCAACGAGGACGCAGAATAATAGTGATTGGTTTAAAGTATGCGTGCTGATGAACAACAAGATTCAATTCTTAAACAATGTTCTAGTTTTCACATAGATATAGTTGCTTTGAATTTATCATTAACGACTAAGTCACTAAACCAGCCTTCCACATTGCTCCATTCCAGTTCAGAACCAATGTAACTCAGGTAAACCAGGTAGCAAACACATCACATGATCAAAACACGAGTCAAGGTAAACCAGATAGCAAACACATCACATGATCAAATTAAAACACGAGTCAAGGTAAACCAGGTAGAAAACACATCACATGAAAACACATCACATGATCTTGCACGCAGGAGACGACGCCTCCTTGCAGTCGCAGGTGATCTTTGGGTACTGCCCCAACGGTAGCTCCCTGTAGTAGCCCGCCGGCGGGTGGTTGACGAACGCGCACGCCTGGCAACCGCAGTAGCAGCGGCCGTAGCCACTGTAGCCCC